TTTTTTGGAAAAATTACTTTCAAATAGAACAATATATTAAGTGTTATATTTCCAAAAATCTGTATAGTATTGCACTTTTATAGTAAGAAATAGCACAAAAAGACGTTTTTTTTAAGATTTAATGTGTTCGTTGGTTAATTATTAACTCTAATTAAAATTTATTTACAATTAAAGAATGGTCGGTAAAAGGTGCTTTAAAACTTAAAATGAACCTTTTACCGACCGGGCGGTCGGAATAAGGGAAATGTAGTCATTGAATATTGAAAAAAATTTACTATACTTTAGCACACAATTATGAATAATATATATTTTTTTCTTAAAGGTAATAAAGCAACGGTTCACTTGAGCATTTACCGACCGACTAGATTTTAATTTTCAATTAAAAGAAGTAATATGAAAGTTGAAAAAATGTATATTTTTGATAGAATTACTTTCAAATAGAATAATATATTAAGTGTCATATTTCCAAAGGTCTGCTTTTAAACGAAAAACGATAATCATATTCATGGTACTTCATTGTTTTATAGGTGAATGAAATATATGAATTTTAACATATTCAAAAGTAGTCTCCTAAAATAATATTTTTTTCACGGTCGGTAATAGAGTGCAAGAAATATATATTGCGACCTATTACCGACCGAGAAAATTATGAACGTTTTCTTTTCAGATTCAAGAAAATCTTTGAGATATGTCTGAAATAAGTAAAATAAAAAGGTAGTGAAAAAAATTACTCCTACAGTCGCCACATCGGAAGAATTTGTAGAATACCAACGGAAAATCAATGCCGAAAAAAAAAGAAGAAAAATTATTGGAGAATAAGAAAAGAAAGATGATTTTAAAATCAAATACAAATAAAAAGAAACCAAAAAATGTGGTGAAACAAGATAATATTCTTCCTAGTAAAAAGATAACAAAAAATAAATTTAATATTTCTGAAGGGGAATATGCTGTGATTATTTATGAAGGAGAGTACTTTCCTGGAGTGAGTCTTGGCTTTGACGGTACGGGATTAAGAGTGAAGACTATGATAAGAAGTGGTTCACATTGGAAATGGCCTGAAAAAGAGGATATTTTATCATATTCAGAAAATGAAATGTTTTCAAAAATTAATCCTCCAAAACCCGTGAATAAAAGGGGCATATATGCAATTCCGGAGATGGATGCCATAAAAACTATAATAATAAAAAAATAATATGATTTCATACCAAAGTTTAGTCTATTATACATGCCCAATATATTATGTAACTTTTTGTTGTATTACGACTGAGTTTGTTTTTTCAATTGAGCCAGTAGATATGATTATTTTTTAATAAATAAGTTAATATTATGTTGTTAATTACTTAAATAAGTAGTCCCCAAGAAGGTCGCTGATAGGACTAAAATGTCCGGTAATTAGGTGCTTGTGGTCGGTAATAGCAGCAAAATCGGTCGGTGATAAGTAAGTATATTTCAAGCTGGTCGCTGAAGGGAGCATTTTAATGAAATTGTACATAATTACTGAAATATTTAAAAAAAGATTTAAACTTGTAAATACTATTTTTTCTATATTACTAGCTGAATCGGAAAGATTAAAACTTATCTTTAAAAATTATTCAAAGAAAAATAAATACGAATTTTTCTTATTATTGAATCTGCTTATAAGGAAAACCTTAAGTGGTCGGTAAAAGGTACATTTACCTTACCTGGTGGTCATACTCAATTTAAAATTGTTTTCCTATATACTTCTGTTAACTTGTTGACAAATATCTATTTTTCATTGAGTCACCCGTATCAACAGTTTAGGGATTTGCATACATAATGTGCTATCAATATGATGGAAATGGACTATAAACGATTAAAATGTTTATCATTTTTACATATTTCTGGTGAAAGTTTGTAGATTATAATCCCTGTCTTTAGAAATTAGGTAGTTTAACATTTTACCATTAGTCGAATCAAGCTGTTCATTATTCTCGTACCAAATTTGTGTCATTTATTGTTTCCCCAAGTTAAAATATAGTTTTTAGAAACGACCTCCCCTCCACTATGGGCTTCTGTTAGACGTTTTGTAATGTATTTTTATTGGTAGCATTCGAGACTCAGTTCTGTAAACATGTATAGTAGGCAATAAATAGTTCTATGAAAATTGTCGTCGTATATTATTTTAATTTAATAAAATAATATTTTATAGCAAATATATCTCACGATAAACTATTCCTGGGTCGGTACACATATATAACAACCCAAGATAGGCAAGGAAATCAAATATTTATTAAACGATTTGTGTACGAAACAAAGGCCAATAATAACTGATTTATACAGAGTGGCCCAAATAGAACTTAAATATATTTAACAGTTGATTTTATTTCAACAGCCGCTTCTTTTGATCGTACATTATCCCATTTTTGTCCAAATCCAAAAAGAAATTGTTAATTTTTAGTAAACTTTAATTTTTCTGTTGTAAATTTAATTTTTAAATCTATTCGCTGCAAACGTGCCAATCACTCCCACAGATAAACGGGAGTTAAAGTTTCTTTAGCAGTAAATGGTTGACTTCAGTTAGTATCGAGAATAAACATCCTGGGTTAATAATATTATAAAAGGCCCGGTTTCAGGTAACAATGGTTAACCTGAGGTACAAGGTCTTAACAATGGGTCAAGTCTGATAAATTTAATAATATTTATGGCCGCACTAATTCAAGTCAACCATTTTCTGCTAAACAAACTTTACCTGTATCTAAACATAATTTTAAGAACAATAAACTATTGTCAATAAAGAAATTTATTTTACTTGTCTGTCTTATAAAATTTAAGGAGTGTCCTCTCGTACTAAACAAAACTTTTCTACACACATTCAAACAAAAATATAGTTGTTCGAATGGAATAAAAAAGCACTTTACCTTTCATAAATCGAAATGGTCATCGAGAATCCTAAAATAGTCACAAACTTGGACAGAAGCAAAGCACTATCGAAAATAAACATGCTCCCAATACGATGCCATAAGTGACTCTATAGAAGTTTCTATTCGAATTCGGAAATAGCCTTTTGCTGTTTACCCGTCGTTTACATTCAATGTTACTGTGAGGGATGCTCACAGGGCCGAAATGTAAATAGCTGATTTCGTTAAGTCGTTTTCTCCAAGTGCTTTTTTCGTTAGGAAAATTTCTAACAAAAAAATCGGTGGGCGTAACTGCGGCTCTTAGGTTCACCAACAAGAACTTTAATAATCAATTTTACGAAAGTTTTCTCGTTTATTTACCTTACCTCAATATGTTTAAGCTCGAATTGTGAATGTTAAATTAGTGTAAGGCGATTTTGTGATAAATATGTTTATTTTATATTTAGTTCAGATTTTTAATTTATAAGATTGCTTTTTTTAAATTTTATTTATCTGCATCAACCACTGGGGTTATTAGCGGTAGGTTTATGATACAAATAGAGAAAATAAGATACATTTTAAAAGTCATGACTTACAACAACATATGTACATGTAACAAAAATTAAATCATAATTTATTATAGAGTTTACAGTTCTTTAAAAAGACAGAATTTCATTGAATTTTGTAACCAGTGCTTCTTTCAGTCTGTTGGGTATCTTGAATATCGTCTTGGCTGAGGTGTACTCTGGACATTCTATTATTATATGGTTAACTGTGAAAAGTGTTTGGCATTTTTGGCACATTGGTAGAGATTTTGGAGATTATGTAGCCATGCATGCATAAGTCGTGTATTCCCAAGACGGAGTCTGCTGATAATTACCTGGTGTTTGCGTTTTGGTGGTAAAGGAAGGTTTTTTGAAGATACGTCTGGTTTAGGCCCGCCGCAAATTGACCACAGCTTATGCACATCCCACGCGCAGCCCACGTATAGTCCAACCTAGTCCAAGTACAGGTTTTTCAATAATAACGCATATTGAACACAGCTCACGCCCATGTCAAATATTTGTATTCTTTATTCTTCGTTCAGTACAGAAAATGACATTAAACGAGCAACTTCTGCTCGATTTAGAATCTGAATCTGAAAATGACGAAAGATTTGTTATGTTGCACCTACTGAAAAAAAAAAAAAAGAAGTTAAACTAATAAGTATTTACGAAAAAGAGAGAGTCATGGAGAGTTCAAGTTATCCATTGAAATTAACAGAAGACAGTTCAGTGAGGTTCATACATTAATTAAAGAAGATATTACCAATCAAGAGTGTAATGTACAAAAGCCCATTGGAAGTGAAGAAAAGTTAGCAGTATGTCTAAGGTAAATATTTTAAAAATTAAGTATTTTTATTAACATTTAATAAATTGATTTAAAAATCGTCCAAATTTTTCGAGTAGCATGGATCATTTCTCTCTTCTGATATTAAAAATGCTGTATGTGAAGGAGAGAATAATTCTGGGCATTCTTGGCTTATCACATAATAACTACCAGATTGGCTGGTAGATGGAGTAGATTGCTGGCTGTACATCTCTGAATTCTTCTCAACTTCCTCCTCGGCCATATCTTCAGCCCGAGAAACAGCTTGGAATAGGTTTCTCCTTATTTTGTTAGTTTTGATTTGACATTTTTTTTTTCAAATCTAAAGGAAACAGATGTTTCTGTTTATTTGACATGTTAGTTTGTTCATTGCAGGTTCAGCAGACTATTATTTTAGAATGAAATTAAAATTATATTGCAAGAGAGAGCAAATTAGCCGATTAAGGAAACTATAGTAGTTAGATATTTCTATTATAAAAATTGCAAAGCGCAAACCGGTCGATTTCGGGTAAGGGCGCAAAACGGTCGAGCGCAAACCGGCTGTATTCTCTTCATCTTGGTCTATCAATATTGCGTCGTCTGTGTTACAACGTATTTTAATTTCTTTTAATAATTTCCTCCATGATTAAATTGAAGTGTTTAGAATTCGTATTGTGAAATTTCTAACATCAATTTCTGATCTTTGGTTTGTGATTTGAGACAGGAAATAAATTTAAGCTCGAAGTAAAAGCATAAAACTGGTGAAAACTAACTAAGCAAGATTAAAGAGAATTAAGTATTTCAATACAAAATTTAATAAGAAATTAAAAACATTGTTAAACAAAAACAAACAAATTTAAAACAAGTAATAAATTTTAATTAACTGTATTATGAAGTTTTTAATAATTTGTCCGCAAACACATCTCTCTCTGCAATGGTAAACTGATAGGCTGGTGCTCCTCCTTCTATTACCCAAAGAGTTCCATTGGGGGCATATTTTAAAACTCCAATAGTTTCTTTGCCAACATGGTCAGGTCTAAAAATTGATTATAAATTTTAAAAAATTGAAACATTCTTTAGTGTAAATGTTAATTATAATGACTATGTTTACATGAACCTAAAATAGTCTATAAATGATTTTGTTTTCGTAAGTATTAAATTTTATGTTCGAAAGAGGCTTTGTTTATGTTTTACTTGCACTAACTGCTAAACGTGATATACTTGTTTTCAATTCAATTTTTCTAATGTCATTGACCAAGCTACACTTTTCACTTATTATAATTAGACAAAATAGATACTTCAGTAGAAAAGTAAAACTTTGCAATTGTCACTAAATTCTCACTTTTACAAAAAAATGGGTTAACGCATCTTCTTTTCTAGTTTATTCTAGTTTCCAAATAATATGACAACTTATTACACAGTTTATAAATACCTTTCTACATAAATATTAATTCAGTACATGGCCAGTATTCTTTATTGTAACGTCCATCATTTCTATATGTGAGCAGTAATAACTGGATGTTATGACTCCCTAAATTAAAGCACAGCTTTGACAACAATCAGAAGCTATAGAGCTCGGGATTTTGCGAAATTAACTAGCTTGATTGCTTCCTGGAGAGCGTTGAGGCAGATTAGAGTGAAGCCGTGCATATTCGTTCATATTTGTAATACTAATTCCAGAATTAATGTACAAAGCCTAGTATGTCCCTTCTACATTTTTGACCAAACCATAGTTTTATATTAATATTTTTAGAGATTTTTAGTAAATTAGATAAACTATTTAAAATAACTATTATTAACAGTTCGAATTCGTTAGTCAAGGTGTGTGGACGTATTCGAGTTTATTTTTAATTTATTGGTGATTGATTCTTGTAAAATACAAGTACCTATAATTAGTTGTTAGTTTTGGTATTGATATTTACGAAGAGCATATTAGAGTTTTTTAAAGCATAAGTAATGTCAGAAAACACGGGCGGCGGTAAGTAGCCCGATGAAAAAAACACGTTTGATAAAAGTGATAGTGAAAATAACAGGTATGTTCAACTAATTGATATGAATAACAGTTATAGACCAGGAGATAATGGTCCATTCTATGTGTTTGTTGAACACAAAAATAAAAATTTAGGGAGACTTTTTCCATTTTAAATAGGGCACTTTCTCCTTAAAGATGAAACTTAAAAAATGATGTAATAGATATTAAACCGGTAGGTGTTAATAGGGTAAAGGTTATTTTTAATACATTAAATCTGTTTTCAAACGAAAATCACGAAGACAAAGTTAAGCCAGAAAATGATGAAACAGGTAATGATATACAAAATTTGCTAGGGGGCAATATTGGAGAGCGATATTGGAACTGATAACGAGTGGGATGATATTGCCGCAGATATTCCAGATTTTTGTTTGACCATTCCCAAAGTGGCCTACATCTTAATTTTGACACAGATACCCCTAAAGCTACAGACTATTGTTTTAAATTTTGGGATCAAGAAATTATACAGCTAATTCTTGAATGAATGAATAAATACATTGAAATATTGACTAATGTAAATAGGTCCAAGCAAAAATACAGGAGACAAGCATCCATTAGGTTATTTACTATGGAGGAACTTCAATCATTTTTAGCTTTACGCATATTACAGGGTCAAATAAAATAACCCTCTTTAAGAAAGTTGTTTTCAATGAATCCACTTTATTATGCACTAGTTTTCCATTACACCCTATCTGGTAGAAGATTTTAAGAAATGTTGCGGTGTTTTAGCTGTGCTTGTAAAGAGAAAACAACAGGAACTGATCCACTGAAAAAAGTCAATCCGCTGCTCAATAAACTATTACTCAATTTTCAAAAAGCTTATTACCCTGCAGAAGAAATATCACTACATGTAGCATTGCTTCTCTTTCGTGGTCGTCTGAGTTTTCGGGTGTATATCAAAGGAAAAAAGCAAAATATGGCATTAAGTTCTACGAGCTATGTTCATCAGACGGATACGTATTGAATATAAAAATTTATAAAGGAAAATTCGAAGATGTAGAAGGTTTATTTAAAATTGAGTCGTTAGTACTGCAACTTATGGAACCTTATTGGGACAAAGGCCATCATTTATTCCTTGATAACTTCTACAACAGCATTTTGTTGTCAAAATCCCTTTTGGAAAGAAAAACTCATTCTACAGGAACTCTTGGATGAAACAGAAAAGGAAATCCAAAAGCTCTTGTAAACACCAATCGAAAGAAAGGAGAACACAAATGGCGAAGAGACGGTAGCATCTATATTTCAAAGTGGAAGGATAAAAGGGAAATACTCTGCATAACAACCAAATATCACCCAAAACTTATAAATGTACAAAACAGGTTTGGAAAGACAGTAATAAAACCTAAAGAAGTTGCCAGGTACATGTCAGGAATAAATAGAAGCAATCAAATGGTAAGTTATTATTCTTCTCCACAGAAAACTATCAGGCGGTACAAAAAAGTGATGTTTCACTTACTGGATGTAGCTATATGGAATTCCTACTATGCAATGAAGAAGCACAAAATGTAAAACTGACCCTTTTGGAATACAGAGAAAATTTGGTAAGAGAATTATTGAACATTCCAGAAGATATGAATGATGCGAGAAAACTGATGCATAAGGGAGCTTTGCACGGTGCAAAAGGAACTAAAATGGAAGCGAATATAGTTGTCCACCAAGAACACTTTCCAGATATAATTCCACACCCTACAAACCCCCGCAAAACTCACCATGTGAGGTGCAAGTAGTGTTTACGAAACAAAAAACGCAAGGAAACCAGATAGTTGTGTAAAACGTGTGCCGATAAACCAGCACTTTGCATTGTACCGTGTTTTGAGCTGTACCACAAAAATTAAATTTTTTAATATAAGCGTATCTCTGTATTATATTTTCGTTATAAGGATATTTCTTTATTATTTTTTACAGAAATAAAGATTTAGTTGCATTTACTAATCGAGAGAGGCATGTACCGCTTTGTCCAGTTGCACAACTTTTGTTACATATATGGACATAACGGCACTTTGTTTTTTTTTTATACAAAACAACCTAAACATTCTAAAATATTATGAAACTACTGAAAAATAACAAATTTTAAGTTTTTACAAGTGTGTTTTTTGCGACCCCCTATAAAAACTAGGTGTCCGCGAACGTGTTAAATTTTCAAACTTGTTTAAAAATTTAGATTTATGTTTTTTTTTCATCTATTGTATTTTATGGACTAAGAAAATTTTGGCTTATTGCTCTTATTTTTAATATGTAAATAAAACTTAAGTTGTCTTATAATCAAAGAAAAGCAAATAAATAAAATGTGATGTATCTAAAGGAAGTTTATTGTATTCATGTGTAAATGAAGTAACAATAACAACAATCAGCGTCACGAACAAAAAATAATATATCGCAAAGGACAGCTCCAATTATTTAACCATGTTAAAAAATTAAGTTACAAACATAAGGAATTTTAAACCGCGGATAAGGAAAGGACGCTACTTATGGCTACTTTGAGAAGTTTTTTTAATATTTTTCTATTGGAAAACATGTAGAATTCAAATTAAATCTTTGAATATTTTTACTTTTGAATTAGCTCCACTGGGAGATCAACTGATCATAAGGATTAAATTGATAATGAAAATATTATAACATTTTTAATATGAACCCAAAAATCATTGCCTTTGGTTATGTTTCTACATTTGGCCATACAGTTTCCCCACTTTTGGCCACCCAAAGACTAGTTAAAAATATAGATACAAGTTTTATTTCTATGTTGTGATTTGTATATGCTTAAATATTTATTGAACTACAAAAATAGGTAAAACAAAATAAATTTCCGGTAACACAAATAAGTAGAAAACATTGAAAAATGTGCAGTCGACTTCTTATTATTTATTTTTAATGTAAATGCTATTCTGGCAGAAGAACCTACTACTAATTACTAGTAGTGGGACAGATCGCGTTCATTAAAATAATTGTATTAAAATAAAATAATTGTTTTTGATTTAAACTTAAACAGTAAAGTAAAATTAAATTTGAGAAACCATCAGATAATTGTAAATTAGACACGCTACTTCTGTCAAATAATATTAAATAAATGAGTGGGGGAAATTGGGGGATCGCGGTCTAGATAAGTTTGGGAAACTCTGGTTTAGATATTAAAAATAACCGTTATTTTGCAAAACGATCTTTGGTTTAAAAATCAGATTTTTTAATGTTTTTTTAAAGGTTAACTCTTATATTTTTATTCTGTATGCTTTGGTTTACCATATCTTCATTAATTTCGGACTAATGTTCTTGCAAAAAAGGTCTTTGGGATAAACAGTTAGCAACTTTTAGCAATTGTCATTTTAACGTTTCTTTATAGTTTAAAAGATAAAGTATTATAATTTCATCTCACTAATATGAGAACCTTGCTAAGCAACAGCAGCACCAAATTAACTTTCGATATCGCTTTGTAAAATGTTACATTTACTCCATACTGTTATATGGTGTAGAAACCTGGACCATAAAGGCCAATGTGATAAACCGATTGGAGTCCTTTGAGATGTGGGTATTTAGAAGACTACTTAAAAATCCCAGGACAGATCACACAACAAATGTCGAAGTATTAAATCGAATGGGTAGAGAACGAAAACTGCTGACAATAATAAAAAGAAGAAAAACTGCTTATCTGTGTCATATATTTCGAAATTCCAAGTACCAGTTCTTAAAGCTTATTATGGAAGGGAAGATAGAAGGAAAACGGGGCATCGGAAGAAAGAAATACTCATGGCTTAAAAACATAAGTGATTGGACAAACCTCGATACCCATGCGCTCTTTAGCACCACACAAGATCTAGAGGAGTATGCCAGCATCCACTAATTGGATAGGGTACCATAAGAAGAAGAATTTCATCTCAAATAATAAGCTTCTTAATAATAAGCAAACAGGATTTCATCATGGTCTATAATAATTTAAAATATTTTCAAAGACCTGAATTTGTCATAGTTCCGAACAGGCTAATTTTTTTGCTTATTTCTCTGTACTGTATAAAATTTTGATATCACTACCCCATTGATCAAATATGTTAAGTATAACCTAAAATGCCACAAATTAATAGTTACCGAATGTTTTTTATTTCTGTACTTAAAAAAACTAATGTCTAATTTCTTTTTCAGGTAAGTTCCTGTTATATAAATCGCTTTAATTAAAGAGTAAGTCATGTTTTTTATATAATTATTATTAACTTAGTAGATAAGAAATAATTAAGTTATTACAAGCATCTTCTAGGGCTAGTTTTTCTTCACTGTCCGAATGTTGTATATTTTTTACAATACTGATATTGATCTTTTTGCGAGAAAAGAATGCAGAGTTAAATTCATCATTAAAATGTTTACGATATCAACCAATTTTTATAAATTTATTATTGTCCCTTTGGCAATCAGCTTTATATTCATTGTACAGTTCTATGTACTTCTCTCTTTGCGAACCATTTGGTGAAAACTAAAATGATTTTACTTTTTGTTTAAATCGATAGATGTAAAAAAAATCGTCTAAAGTTTTTTACTAAATTGATTATTTGGAATTATACATTAAAATAATATTGATTATTACTAACGTTACTCCTATTCGAGATTGGATAATAATTTATTCCTTTTATTTAATGTGACACAACTTCAAATTTCTTACTGACAGTTTAAAAATGTTTAAAATTGTCTGCTATACTGGAACAACTCAAAAGTGCCGGTATTACATAGAAAGTTGATATCGACCGACATGGTTCGACTTCCATTGCACAACTTAAAAGAACCAGTAATACAAGAAACAATGTATTTTAACTGACAGTATGTCATAGTAACACCAGTGACGTCTAGCTGACATTTTTGCTATTATTATTGTGCCAATTTTGCAGGTCATAAATAAGGCTTTTTCAAGTCATTTGGTAATGTTAGCTCAATTTTCGAGTTAAGCCACTATTGCATCTTCTTCTTCATGTACCATGTCCTTTAAGAACGTTGGTTACCATCATAGCTATTTTAATTTTATTCACTGCCACCCTAAATAGCATGCTTGTATCTACACCATACCAATCTCGCAAGTTCTTCAACCATGAGGTTCTTCTTCGTCCTGGACTGCGTTTGCCTGCTATTTTTCCTTGCATGATATTTTGTAGCAATCTATATTTGGGACCTCTCATTACATGTCCGAAATATTCCACCCTTCTCTGCTTGATGCTTTTTATGATCTCAGTGGTCTTGCTGAGACGTTCAAGTATTGTGGAGTTACGAATTTTCTCCACCCAGGAAACTTTTAAAATTCTTCTATAGCACCACATTTCGAAAGCCTCAAGGCGATTTAGATCGATTTTATTTACAGTCAAGGACTCGACAGCATAAAGTAAGACCGAGAACACGTAGCAGCGAAGTAGGCGGATCCTTAATGCCAATTTTGCTGTCCAACGTAGACGATTTTATCAACTTGCTCAAGTTTGGTATTATTTACATATATAGACGGTTTTATATTCTGTTGTTTACTTATTACAAGTATTTTGGTTTTCCTTATGTTAAGATCCAGACCTGCCTCCCTACAACTCTCAACGACACTATCAAGTAGTGTTTGCAGATCTTCTTGACTAGAAGCTAGGAGTACTGTATCGTCCGCATATCGCAAATTATTGATGACTTCGCCGTTCACAAGTATTCCTTCTTGTTTTTCAGAAAGTGCTTTTCTGAAAATTCTTTAGGAGTAAACGTTAAAAGGCAGGGGTGACAAGACGCATCCCTGCCGTACTCCTCTTTTAATATTGAGAGCTTGTGATTCCACACCATCTACTAAAACTGATGTTGTTTGATTCCAATATAAATTTGCAATTATTCGAACATCTCTGCCGTCCAAGCCAATGTCTTTTAGAGCTTCGATCAATATAGAATGCTTAACACGATCAAATGCCTTTTGAAAGTCAATAAAATAACAGTATATGTCTACAGATATATCACGACATCTTTGAGCAAGTACGTTCATTCCAAACAGTGCCTCTCTCGTTCCAAATCCGTTACGGAAACCAAACTGAGTCTCATCCAGGTATTCCTCACATTTATTGTAGATACGACCATGTATTGCATATAGTCACTATTGCATATAGTCGAAAATATAGCCAGGCTATTAGGCTCTAGACAGCATGACCTATTTAAAATCTCTTCTGATATCCCATGATATTAACATAGTCCATATTTGTATCTGCTTTATCAATAAATAAGTCTTACAAAAACTAAGGAGCAAAGCTGGTTGATGTAGTATGTATAATAACCTTTCCACATTTATGCTATTTTATGAAATGAACACAATACAAGTTGCTAGAAATTAATAAACAAAAAAAATCTATAAGAAGTGTAGTTTGGAAGCCAGCTGGCCCCACAATTTCAGACAACAGATGAACTGATCATCTATACGGCTGTAAGTCTTAGCATATTAAGAAGAAGATATGACAAAAGAGACATTAAGCAATTAAAAATTACCAAACTTCGTATATAGTTAATATAAAAATATAGCTTACTCTTGCAGTGGTAATAGGCCCGCTTGTAGAGCTAGCTGATACGGTTTATAATACTCCGGATTTACTAAACATTCCGGTTTTAATGAACTCTCCATCAAAGGGGTTTCGGTAAGACCCGGACAAACAGCTATGACACGCACTTTGGTTCTTTCAAAGTGAAAAGGATCACCCCAACACAATGTCATTCCTGTAACAGCAAATTTTGTTGCGCCGTATACTGGCGCTATGGGCATCCCGTTTACTCCATTAATAGAAGAGGTGTTTAGAATTACAGCTTCTTTGCCTTGTTTGTATTGTTTTAAATATGTTTCCATACCCAATATAATGCCATTCAGTGTTCCTTTCTGTAATAGAATACATAAAATCTCAATAAAAATATGTCAATATATACATTTTTGAGTAATTTAATTAAATAAAACCATAAACCAGGGAAAACTAATTCTACTTATAGTACTAGTTCATTATTTTTAAACAACTATTTATTAGGAGTTCGGCCCTGAACGAGATACCGAAAGGCGTGTTTGTTTTGGTCTCAACATATTTGCAAATTCTATGCAGTAATTATAACAGTTTATTTATAAATCGTTAAGTGACAATTACATGAAATACCAGTAAGTGAACACATCATATTAGTTTTCATTAATATAACGTGATCAACCAGTTTTTTATTGATTTGTAATTTATTAATTATCAATAAGATACGACTCAAGAAATATTATTCCAGTTTTATTACCTGTTTGATTACTAGTCAGGTCCGTATTATTTTTAAACACATGTCCCGTGTTAGAATCAAAAATGGAACCTAACATTCAGAGTCTCTCTAACACAGTATTGCAATCACAGACAAATACCAATAAAACCTATTCATCAGCAGCTTCTACACAATTTCCCTCAAAACATCAAAACATCAAGCAATTGTCTTCAGCGCTTTAGAAAATACGCGACTGCAAGATTACTTAATTCCTTTGGGTAACCTAATTCGTCCCAAAAATATTATATTTTCCTCCCGACTATCCAATAATTGGATTTGCAAGTACCTTGCAAACAAACAAGTCATGGACGAATTCATGCAAAATCATGAACAAATAGAAATCCAGAACAATATTGTACAAGCTAGAAGATTAATCTCACCAGCGAAACGTATTGTTTTTTCAAACGTATGTCCAACAATACCACACAGTCTGTTAGTTGATTATCTACAAAGTATTGGACTTAATATGGTCTCTCCTGTCACTTTTCTAAAAATCAGTTCCACTCTTTCCGAATATAATCATATTTTAAGTTTCAGAAGACAAATATACGTCAGTCCCCATAATATCTCCTTACCCGACTCATTCACCTTAGACTTCGATAATACAACATATCGAATATTCTTATCTCAAGAAACTATGGCCTGTTATAACTGCAAAAAGTCTGGACATATCGCCACCAATTTATGTGGGGAACTTGGAGACTTAACACATATTCTACTTGGTTGTTCATTAAATAGGCAAAGCACAGATAAATTTTATAATGAAGTTATTAATAACAAAGTTTGCTTACCTATAAATTTGAATTGTATAATTTTCAATAAGAATATTAATATATTGTACTGCTTATATAATCACACCAAACGGTGCAAAATGAAATTGTAAATTACTAACCACCTCTTTGTTAGTAATCCTGCAACTAGTTAGATTTTGTAAGTGGGCGACGAAAAAATTAAAAAAAAAAAAAAAATTGTGCATATAAAAAAAAACAAACAAAAATAAAAACAAAAACAAAGCAACAAAAAAATAATGAAAATAAAAATATATATATTTAAAACAAAACAAAACTAAATTCTACATAGAAAAAAAAAATTACACTGCTCACACTTAACTTTAAGCACTACTAATACTTTAAGCATTGTTATTGTGAAGAAGGATGAGTTTTCTTTTTAAGTTTTCTTTTTTAAATTATTATAGTTAAAAAAAAATCGTCTGGCTAATTGGTCTTTACCAAAGCCATCTAATTAAGTATATATATATATATATATATATATATATATATATATATATATATATATATATATATATATATATATATCGCCACCAACTGTCCTGATAAACTGGAATCAACAACAAACTTAATTGATTCTAATAACAGTCGATCTACTACTTCTTCCTCCCCTGACATCATGCCTCAACCTGCAGCAACATCCATATCAAACGAACAAATTTCCGTCCAAGAAAAATTAGCAAACAATCTGAGCAATCCTAACATTGCTAATGGTCAAGAAGAAGCTAACACCATGGAAAGCTGCAAAGTAATTAATATCGATCTTCAGCCAAAACGTAGTATCAATGATGTTCTTACGTCTCCAGAAACAACTTCTGAAACAACAGAAAAATTATTTGCTGTACCTACATCCAAACCTAGAGTCAAAAAAGTTAAAAGCAATGAGGAGCATACATGCATAAAATCAACAAAATCATATGACCTTGAGCCTGCCAAAGATTTTATCCAAAATCATCTATCCACATTTGTCCTCAATTTTGACCAATTAAATCTACTTCTAAGCAATGTTAGCGGCGTGCAGAATCCTTCTAACATAATTCAAGAGTTTACTTCTGAGCTTGTGGGATTAGTTCGTATGCTAACTGAAGTTCATCCACAATTAAAAGATAGATCAACCAAACGTCATATCACCTTCTTAAGAAAGAAAATCCTCCAACACTTGGGTAACGACACCTCTGAATCCGAGGGCGAGTCATCTTAGGTTAACCCGTAAATTCATATTTTTTCTTATATAATATAATTCACTAAACTACTGCAATGGAATATAGATGGATTTTTTCCATCGACTTCCAACCTTACAAAAACTTATTTCTGAATTCCCTAGCGAAATAATATGTCTCCAAGAAACAAATTTAAACCCCCAAAAAAACTATAATTCCAAATATTTTAGCATTTTTAGAAAGGATAGAGTACATGACAATAATTTCTCTTCAGGTGGTGTTATGACACTTGTCAAAAAATCTTTGGTTGCAAATGTTTTTCCTGTCAATAGTAACATTGAAGCTTCTGCTCTGTGGGGAGCCTTCATTATATCACCGCCGATTTTCCTTAACACTATCACACGCAACGTCAATAGCCTCAAATGTAAACAAACCTCTATTTAAAAATACGTTCACTAATAAATTTATAAATCTTTTTACCAATAGTACCAAACATAAGTCTTACTATGAGCGAGTGCGGTGTTACCTGAGATGTCTCAATATCGAATTCCCAATAACCTTTCCAATCAATGTCAAAAGCCCCTCTCCTTGGATAATTATAAACACTGGTTTAACCCAATACGACAAACATATTAACTGCCACGCAGAGATTAAGAATAATCTAGATCTAATTCTCCGTCAGCATTACGAACATTGCTATAAAATATTTACAGATGCATCTAAGTGTGATAAACGAGTAGATGCTGCATTCGTTACTCCAAACGATACATATCAATTTCGTCTCCCAACCTTCTTTTCGATTTTCTCCGCTGAACTTTATGCAGTGTTTAAATCTATCATACATATAAATTCTAATAACATTCCTAACTCTGTTATCTTAGGTGACTCACTAAGCACCCTTCAAACCCTTAAACAGATCTATCCTAAAGGTCCCCTTGAGAAACTGATAAAACTAGAACTTATGCAATCTCAAGAAAATTCAAGGAGTATCAGATTTATATGGATTCCATCCCACATTGGCATTGCTGGCAACGAAAGTGCGGACCAGTGCGCGAGTGAAATTGCTAAATGTGCCAATATAGAAAAAGCCGAGTATCGAAATACCGCGAGTGATATAAAAGCCGCGAGTGATATAAATAATCGAGTTTTGTGCAAGTGGAAAAACGAATGGCAATCTTCTCAAACATCACTGAAGCTTATTAAAAATGACGTTGCAGCTTGGGAACCCTCAGCAAGGAACAGAAGAGAACAATTGGTGATAATGAGATTACGAATTGGACACACGAGACTTACTCACTGATACTTATTTACCAAATGGGATCCACCTATTTGCGAAACATGTAATGTACAATTAACCGTTAACCATTTATTAATTAAATGCCATAGATTTGCCAATTTTCGTGTTACATTTAACATACCTAAGAGTTTAAGTAATTTATTAGGCACTAATTTCTCAGCTAGTAATATTGTAAAGTTCTTAAAATCTATAGGACTATTCTATAAACTCTAATTTTGTAATTCTGTAGCCGCCGCTAATAACCATTATGGTGGTGGATGCGGCTGTAATTTCTAAATAAAAAAAAACTATTTATTAGATATATATATACATATATATATATATATATATATATATATATATATATATATATACATATATAAATATATATATATATATATATATATATATATATATATATATGTATTCCCGTTCTCTTCCACCAATCCTCCTGGTCCAAGGCATGCTCCTCCTTCAAGCCTCTCGATTTCATCGCTCTTCTAATTTCCATGAGCTTCGAGCTTTATTTCATGAGCGTCGAGGTCTACCTCTTTTACTTCTTCCAGGGGGCTTCCATCTGTGAAGTTTTTGGGGCCAACGTTCGTCAAGCATTCTCAATAGGTGTCCAAACCATTTTAAACCTCTTCTTTTGATTTTGTCAGTGACCGTTTCTGTAGCATTCATGTTATATCTTATAGATTCATTGCTCTTTCTTTCCAGCCTTGATGTTCTAGTACTTCTTCTCAAATAATCCATTTCAACTGCCAATAATCTTCTCTTCAGGTCTGTATTAATTGTCCATACTTCAGAACCATAACAAAGAACTGATTCAACCATGGTTTGGTCTATTCTTTTTTTGTTTCTTTTGGAAATGTTGCGATCCCACCATAAGGAGTTCAGACATTCTACAATTTTACTTTCCTGATTAATTCGGTGTTTAATTACGGTTTCTCCCAAGCCGTTCTTATCAATGAGTGCACCTAAATATTGAAATTTTTCCACTTGTTTGATTTCCACGTCCTCGTTTATTAACACTTCAAACATTGCATCTGAATTGGTAACTTAATATTCTGTTTTCTTCATGCTGACTTGTAACCCCCATTTTACATATTCTCTGTATAGGCGCTTTATCATAAATTCTAGATCATAAGAATCTTGAGCTAGGACGACTTGGTCATCTGCAAAGTTCAGGGAGAATAGTACGTCATTTCCTATGGGGATTCCCTGGCAGTTTGTTTTCCTATTTTAGAGGACTGCCTCAATATATAAATTAAACAATAAGTTTGACATACTCCATCCTTGTCTTAGTCCCTTAGTTACTTTTATTAGTTCTGATAGTCTATTTCCGATTTTTAGGTAAGTAGTGTTATCCCTGTATACTTCTGTCTCTGTTATTATTCCTAAAAGGTAAAAAGAACGAAACTAACACAACAAAACAAGTACCAAAAGTAGATAGTTATCAAAGATGCTCAATGTTGATGACTATTAGTCCTCTGCAAAAATTTGCTCTTTTACTTAGACAACGCCGAATTCTTGCAAAAATTCCAAAGTTATTTCTAAATTAATTGCAAGCATATAGTATCCTTATCTAGAGTTTTTGTCAATGGTCTCAGCAGCAAGTGCAAAGAGACAGAGATTTTTTTCGATTATGTGCTTTTTGAAAATGAGGCCACATTTTACAAATATGAAGTAAACCGGCATAATTTTCATTACAATGCATCAATCAATCCCTATTTTGTTAATACTCATAATTAAAATAGGTGGTGTATAAATGTTTGGAGTGTTACTGTTGGCAATTATGAGATTGGCCCACATTTTTTTGCCGGTCGTGTAAATGGGTGCCATATATCTAAATAATCATTTGCCAATACTACTGCAACATGTACCGCTTAATATTCGACAACAAATGTGGTTTTTATATGACGGTACTCCAGATCACCACACTGCTCCTATTTACAATCATACAAATAATATCTTTCCTGAGGGGCGGATAGGCAGAGAAGATCCAACTGTTTGGCCACCGCAATCACCGGAATTCTCAATAATAATTTTTTCATGTGGGGATATATAAAAGATCTTGTATACCAGAAGCCTCTAACAACGCCAGATGATATAAAAATAGAATAAGAGAAGCTTTTAATAAAATTGACTTTCAAATGTTAGGAAATCTTGCTCAAAAATTTGAATATCGGTTACAAACTGGTATAGACGTTGAAGGTGGATTTTTTTTTGACATTTACTTTAGAATTATTTCCTTAATGTCACATTAATTGTTAAATTTATTGCATAGTATTATGGTTTATATTTTTTGTTAGTTACTTATTGAATAAAAATAATTTGATTATATTATCACTCAATACTTAATAGTTACTTCTAATTACAAATATTAAATGTCTTTCCGCAATTTGAAGAAATCTAAGAATAACTCAAAAAAAAATAGTTTAGATATCGGGAATGCTATTTAAAAATGAAAAAGTATCATAAATACAATATTTCCAAAAAATAAAATACGGGGTGATACAATAAAAAATTGAGAAATCGTAATTTCGTTTTGTAGTTCAGCCTGTACACAAATGTTGGTCAATAATTTCAATTAAACATAATTGTAAAATTACAATATATTGTTTACTTTACTAAATAAAATAAATAATTAATATATAAATTGCTTCTTTATATACATGGTGTTGATTTCATAGAGATTTCGAAATAAAAATGGTCATAACTAGTTTATATATATATATATATATATATATATATATTATATATATATATATATATATATATATATATATGTAAATATTTTGTTCTTTTTGGGTGTGGTAGTCAATAAAAAATAGAGCTTTGCTAAGGCGTACTATTTATTCTGAAATCCGAGCTTTCGGTGGTTACTTGCCACCTCTATCAAGGTCTACAATGAAAATTGCTGTGTTATAAAATTAGGCTGATGTAATATAAAAGTTATAAAAACTTACCAGAAAGTAAGATTCATAGCATATAAAACACAACGTTAAATAACATAATGTGATCTAAATTATTGAAGGCATTAAAAATTTTAAAAACTTTAAAATAACTTAAAAATTAAAGAACATGTTACAAAGTTTAAAAAGTAAAAAATAAGACGACATGTTTGACAAAAAACAGTCGTCTTCGCAGGTTTGAATTCAGTCACATCTCACGAACAGAAAGAGGTAGTAGGTGGAACTATTGTTGTTTAAATAGTTCGATGTAACTACAAAAAACAAACTTTCAAACTGATGTCTAACAAAATGCCGTTTGTGATTTTAAATACTACCAACCATGTTACCAACTTAGAATTGAGAGGGAAATTTAAAAAAAGTTTATTATGTCAAACAATAAAAAGAAAATAGTATTTAGTAAGTAGTTTTAGAAAAAACAAACAACCAAAACAAAATGAACATCTGAATAATAACTGAAGTTAATCATGATAATTATAGCAATTAATAATGGAATTTAAGAAACATGAAATACTCTGAGATGCAGAAAACCCTAGTCAAAAGTCAAAATAAAATTGTAAATTTTGCTAAGATTCTGGATCTCAGATCTTTTATTCAGATTGTTGTTATCACTCCTGCTGATATGTACCATTTCTAAGAATGTTCTCTTAAATTTATTTTTCTCTCTTGCAATTCACATGCTAGGAAGAGCGGGAAGGATCTTTGCCCTTCCTTGACATGCGTTTGCATAGATGTGAGGATAATGTTGTGAAAACACAATGGTATAGAAAACCTATATGTAGCAATAGATTCATAAGCTACCATGCTTAGCAAAGCTCTATTTTTTATTGACTACCACACCCAAAAAGAAAAAAGTATTTACATATTTTTTCCAAACTAGTCAAAAAAATTTTGGACTACCTTATATATATATATATATATATATATATATATATATATATATATACGGGTATATATCCTGGGTATATATATATATATATATATATATATATATATATATATATATATATATATATATATATATATATATATATATATACCCGGTATTTAGGCGGCACATGCCTTCCGGTAGGGATCTATGGAGGAGTATCACCGAGCTGCAAGCTCTTATCTCTTGCCGCACTGCTCCACCACAGGCCGATCAGATACCAGAATATTCTAGGCTAAGCCGCAGATTTATTTAGATTTTTAAACTGCTGCGTTAGCCTTTTTGTTTTCTGTACACCGAGCTCGGGATTGAACTGACAACTCTCGCATTGAAGCGAATGAGAAACCAGCCGCCCAGCCCGCTTGGCTATCCGATCGAATATATAATATTATAAGAACAAGAATGATGAGGGGAATATAAATATAAAAAAATTTATGGGGTGTGCCATTTAAAAAATTGTATGTTTGCTATATACGGAAGGTTTTTATTGAAATAATGAACTTGCTGATATCATTTCTTTTATTTTCCAACTTTTACCGAAAAATCTCCACTCTCACAGTGAACTACATATTATAATATATAAATGGAAGGTCGTACTTCTCTTTTATATATATGTTATGTAAACCAATTGCGATAGATATAGCTTTTATTACTTTTATACTTACGACATTGATATCTACGGTCAGTGACATATTCACATCCTTTAATATGCCAGCATTATTGATGAGGATATCTACATATCTAAATGCAGCGACTGTAGCTAGAAAGGCATCTGAAATAAATTAAGAATGTAGTGAATACTATTATTATCAATTTCAAAATAATTTTAATATTGTTTCCTATCATTATCATCACTATCATCGCCATCGTCATTATTAGCATCATTATCACTACTTTTGCATTTTTCATTATGCGAAATCGGTTTCCCTAATTAGGAAAAGATGTTTAACAGTGAACCAGTGGGGTACAATGAACCACCGAAATATTAGGAAATCTGGCAACGCCAGACACTTACGTTCTACAAATATTAACCACAGTTGGATTACAAATCCATCCGGTCAGTTAGCCGGGACGTGCTACAAAGTTTATATGAGGTGCGAGCCAATAGTTGCTTTAGAGGGAAAAACTTTTATTATCATTTTTAATGTCCTTGCGTTGTTTATATTTAAGAGCAAACCTGTTACATAATTTGCTATAGGTATTTGGCCATACTTATGTAAAATAGTTACTTTTTTCTTACTTTTAGTAGTAAAAAAGCTTTTTTCTTATTTTTCTAACCTAAAATATAATAATATACAGGGTGGTACACAGTAAATCAATCGACCCTGTTTCACAGTGAACTGGTTCACTGTGGACCAGATACTTTTATGTTTATTGTTTTTACTTATTAGATTCAAACTAAACACGTTCTACAACACAAATTTTATATTTTTATTGTCTACAATGCCGCGAAACAAAACTAAGGAAAGAAAAACTAGAGCAAATACACAAGAATATATGAGAAATAATTTAGAAGCAGTAGAAAAAAGCATAAGTATACGAAAGGCAGTTAAAGAAGCCGAAATTCGTTATACTCCACTTCGCCGCAATGTAAAAAAAGAGCAAATCAAGGCAACATTTCTTTGGTTCCCAACAACGAAGTAAATCGGGTTTTTTCTTTAGAACAAGAAAATGTATTAATTGGATACTTCAAGATTTGTGCACTAAAATTCTACGGACTTACCACAAAAGACTGCAGGCAAGTTGCTTATGAAATGGTGAGGCCAAACAACATTAAAATGTTAGATTCTTGGGAAAGAAATTCTATAGCTGGTGTATGTCTTAGATGTTTTAGAAATCGACATCCTGATATCTCGTTAAGAAAGCCAGAACCTTGCAGTCTTGCAAGAGCAACGTCCTTTAACCGAGAAAATATGAAAACCTTTTTTGATAATTTATCAAATGTTCTTAACAAAAATGACAAATTTGCTAATAGCACACGCATTTATAATTTGTACGAAATGGGGTCGAAATGTTCAGAAACCCCAAAAGGTAATTGCTTCAACTGGTTTGTTGAATATCTGATAGGTTACTAGCGGTGAAAATGGAACTTTGGGTACATGTTGCATGGTAAGCGCAACAGGGCATGCAATACCTCCTGCCATTGTTTTCCCAGAAAGAATTATAGAGACCTAATGTTGCACGGAGCTCCCCCTGGGACGTTAGGTTTAACGGTTCTATCTGGTTGGATGAATAGTAATCTGTTTGTTGACGTTATAAAACAATTTATCCATCATACCAATTCAACTCCTGAAAATCCGTCATTACTCATCATGGATTACCACGAATCGCATCTCTCCATAGACTCCTTGGATTTGGCAAAAAATTCTGGAGTAACAATTCTCACACTGCCTCCGCACACTTCAGCTAAATTGCAGCCGTTAGATGTTGGACTGCTAAGTCCGTTTAAGACGTATTATTATGCCGCTTTAGAATTCTGGATGCTTCGTAACCCAGGGAAGCCTGTCACCATTTATCAAATGGCTGAGTTTGTCGGCCATGCTTATCCCAGAGCTATTACACCACTAAACACAGCCGCTGCCTACTCCAAGTGTACAATTTTTCCATTTAACAGAAATACATTTAGCGACTAATATTTTTGCCAAGCAGTGTTACGGACTGTCCTGAACCCAACAATACAACAGATAAGCCAACCTCTGAAACAACTGAAACGCCACAACGCAACGAAAAAAAAACAAGCAGACCCAAGCAAAATCGCGGATGATTGTATGCTTAATACATCTTCTTCTTCTTCAGATGCAAATCCACTAATGGATGTTAGCGATCACATTTTCCATTAATTCTCTATTTGTTGCAATATGTATCAGAGATTGTATGTCGTTAATCCTTGTCCATTGCCTTATGTTTCGGAGCCAGGACATTTTCTTGCGTCATCTATATTTGTGATTTTTGCTGTCCATGGTATTTTTAGGATACGGCAATAAAGCCACATTTCGAAAGCTTCTAATCTGTTTATATCCCTCGTTTTGAGTGTCCAGCCCTCTACGCCATATAGCAGCACTGACCATACGTAGCACTTAGTAAACCTTAGTCTCAGTTGAAGATCAAACTCTGAATAAGTCAATACTTTCCTGAATTTTACGAAAGCTTGTCGAGCTTGCTCAATGCGACATTTTACTTCCCTGTCCGATGCCCAGTCTTCAAAAAGCCACGATCCCAGGTATTTAAATTTACTCACTCTTTCAATGGACTTAGTATTCAGTGTTATGATGGAGTTTTCAAGTGCATCTAAGTTTCTGGAGATGATCATAAATTTGGTCTTTTTGGTATTAATCTCTAATTCCATTCGCTTACTGTATTCTCCGATTATAGTGACAAGTTGTTGAAGATCGACTATGTTGTCACAAATTAAGACACCATCATCAGCATATCGTATGTTGTAGATCAATACTCCATTCACCTTGATTCCCATCTCTGCATCCTCCAAAGAGTCTTGAAATATGGCTTCCGAATAAATGTTAAATAAAAGGGGGGGAAAGCACACATCCCTGTCGAATGCCTCTTCTTATATGTATGGGTTTGGATATAGAATTGTCTATTTTTAACTGTGCCGTTTGATGCCAGTACAAGTTTTCAATGCATCTTATCTCTTTTTGGTCTATATCAACTTTCTTGAGGATCTGCATTAACTTGTGGTGTTGGACACGATCAAACGCTTTTTGGTAATCTAAAAAGCATAGGAACACATCCTTCCTCTGATCGTAACAATTTTGGACCAGCACCTGTGTTGCTACTACTGCTTCTCGTGTTCCTAAACCTTGCCTAAACCTGAACTGGGAATCACTGATGTCCCATTCACATTTTTTGTATAATCTTTGATGTAGTATTTTTTAAGAATATCTTTAAAGTGTGACTCATCAGGCTAATGAGTCTGTGATCCTCACATCTTTTTGCATTGATTTTCTTGGGCAGGGGAATAAAGGTAGAGCGTAACCACTGTTGAGGATAGCAGCCAGCTTAATACATATGTTATTAGAAAACCAAGTAGACCAAGGTGTAGCTCAGTACCACGGCAACATTTTTTCCAAAAGAAATATATTAAAACGTGAACCCAAATGGAGCCACACAAACAAAATTATAACAGTGTCGTATGGCCCCCATGGGGATCACATGTACCCAAGTTCAAATGGCAGTATAATCCCCATGGGGGTCATATGCACCAGACTATAGGATACTATGATCCCCATAGGGGTGAATTGGCGTCCAATGTGTTAAGTAAGTTTTTTTAAACTTTAAGTTTTTAAAGTTTTTAAAACTATTGTATACAGCCAAGCACTGAGAATTTCCCTATTAAGAATGTTAATTCATTAATTATATAGTTTATATTTAAACTTACTTTCGAAACTTTCTTTGTCAGTTACATCAGTTTTAACAAATATCACCCTATCCTTGCCGTATTTTCCTTGGAGTTCTTCCGCAACCTTGGTACCATTCCCTTCATTTACATCTGCTATGGTTACACCCTAAAAATAGTTTCAAATACAAAAGTTTTATTACTTTTAGAGTTTTTTTTTCAAGTAATTAATAACATTCAATTGTTTTATCGTAATTAAACATTAATTGGAATAGTTTGCAAGCCATTTAACATGAGAATCAATATTATAATACATAATAATTGTAAAATACAATTGTTTTTAAATTTTTTTATTTAAATTGGCTGCAATAGCCAGTGACACAAACAATATTGTGTACAATAATTACAATAAGCACATGTTACTAATTTCTACAGTTAATCTATAAGCTTAGAACCAATGACTAAATATTACAACAGTTTAATCACTAAGTTAAAAGTTAAAGGTAAAGTACATGGAAAATAATGAGTTATATTCTGTTAAACAACTGAATGTCTTTCAAGACACCAATTAGGTTAAAGACTTGAGCGGGCGAGTTTAAAACGTCTTTGATATTTGACTTAAGTTTATGTTGCACTCTGTGTTTTGCGTACCAGGGACACTTGATCAGAATTTATTTCACAGTTGATACACTTGAGCTGATTCATTAAATATTCATGTGTGAATCGGGTATGTCCTATTTTTAAGCTTCGGATGACAGCTTTTTCGTTTCTAGACATTTTTGGAAGTTAAAATTTTTTAACATTCTGCCGGATCTCATGTAATGCACTCTTAATTGTGTTCCAGTGAGTTTGCCAGGTATGATACTGTTGTTGCTTGAAAATAAGCTTTAGATTATTACGGATTTGAATATGTTGAGTTTTTGAGGATTGACTGTTTACACAAGAAGCTGGCTTGGCTGCTTGGTCTGCTTTTTTATTACCGATGATGCCGATATGGGAAGGTAGCCAGATGATCGTGACACTTACACCTTAAAAAGCGAGTTAAAGCCTCTAGTATTGTATAAAGTTCTCCAGTGTATACGCTGCATAAATTTGGCAAAAAAGATGATTTTATTACTTCATCATTTGTGGTAACGGCACATCCAACGCCTGCTTCGCTTCGCTTGGAGGCATCTGTATATAGAATTATTTGGAATTGGTTCTTGCTTATAATTTCTTTGAAGTGTTGCCTTATGAATCATGACGTTTTATGTTTACTATATTTTCATAGAGAAGTTATTGAATGCGGGATTGGTCTATTCCAAGGCGGAGTATCCGAGATTGGAAGGGATGTGTTTTAGTAAGGTCTATTATTGGTTGGATCTTTTGCGGGGTCTCCGGAGGCGATGTTGAAGTAATTAAATGGTAGACTGGATTGGATAGGTTTGCGGATACGGAAACAAAGTAAGATTGAAGAAGATACTATCTTCGAATCCAGAGAGGTGGTTTATTAGCCTCGCAGTAAATGCTCTCTATGGGACTACATTTAGAAGCGCCAAAGCAAAGATGAATAGAGTTGTTATGCACAGAGTTCAGTAGCTTTAAGTCATATTTTGATGCAGATATATAGTCCGTCTAGAAAGTATCCGGAAAAAAGAAAGCAGAATTATAATTTTACGGTATTTATTTCTATCACTTGAAATATAAAATTTTAACAAATAATTCATCTCATTTACTTATACAACCATCATTTAAATCTAAACACTTAACTAAACGTCCAGGTACACCTGAAACTAGGTCAAGGCCCTAATTTTTGGTAATGGTGTTCCAGGCCTGTAAAACTGACCGAATCAAACCTTCTTTATCTCGTGGCGCTGCTCGTTCCTCTTTAATCTTCATCAGTCCCCATATGTTTTCAATGGAGTTAAGATCTAGAGATGCTACTGGCCACGGAATTGTTGCCAATTCATGTTGGTGCATCCAAGCCTAAGTATAAGCAGAAGTATGGCATCTTGCATTATCTTGCTCTGCCACCACTCTGGATATAAAACATGAGCCGTTTCAAGAAGAAAACCATTTAGGATATAACAATATTTCGCACTATCAACACTACCAATAACTATACAGAGGGTTCCCCAAACCATTATTTTAAAGAAAATTTGGAAATTTCAACGGTAACATTGTCTCTTGATAGAACTTTTAGATGATTTGCATCAAGCTGGAAACAACTTTCATCAAATATAAAGACATTATTAAAATTATCTTCTCTAAAATGTTGAACAAAATCTATTCTTCGTTGCCTTTGCAGATGTGTCATTGTAGGGATTCCTTAATATGCAGCCTTGCTTTTTCAGTGACATGCGGACAGTTTCTAGGCACACTTTTATTCTTTGTTGATTTCCAAATCTAATTTTCGAAACCCTAGGCGCGGATTTTGTCGTCCTAAACCCACTAAAGCTGGTCTATGTCTCATATCTATGCCATTTTTTATCCTCTTTGTTGTCTCATACACTGCATTTTTTTCGAGTTCAGTCAATTGCACGAATTTTTTAACGTTTCGGACACCCTTTCTATACAAATATTCCAACTCTTTACTTTTTCTACTTCGGACATTATTTCACAAATCGTAAGTCTGTTTACAAACAACAATATTTGACAGATGGCATTGTCATGCGATTTTGTTCATAACCTACTATCGGCACAACTACTTTTGTCTTAAAATGTTACAAAAAAAAAATCTATTAAAATTAGGAAAATACAAAATTCCGGATACTTTCTAGACGGACTATATATAAAGCTGCTGTAGTTAAGTTTTGAGTGGATAAAAGCTTTATATACATTAAGTAAGATAGTTTCGTCCGCACCCTATGTGTACTTTGACAGTGCCTTGATGATATTGAGTCTCTTCATTACATTGCACTTTAATACACTAATATGCTGTTTTCAGGTTAGCCTACTGCCAAACGTTAAACCAAGTATTTTGTGATGAGTAACCAGTTGCAATGTAGTTTTATTAAGGGTAATAATTGGACTTTGGCTGCAGGGTCTTCTGGTAAACCGTATAAATTTCGATTTAGTCTTTAAAAGAGCTTATCCGGTTTTTTGGGATCATTGCATTTGGCAATTGTACTTTTTTCCTGACAATATAAAATAAGGTCATCTGCGTATATTAAGTGCTTGACTGGTGGACACATACTGGAACAAATATCATTTATTGCAAGAATGAAAAGTGTTGTACTGAGTACTGAACCTTGTGGGACTCCATTATTTTGCTCGAATGTCGCCAAAATTTCCCCATTCGTTTTCACTTCTTTACTTAACTTCTTTCACTTCAGAAAGTTCTTTGTTAAAAAAACTTTTTTATAAAGGAGTAAATATGCTTAAGAATGGCTTGGCGCGAGATAGTATTGAAAGCTCCTTCTATATCAAGCGACAGTAGCGATCAGATCTTGTTTGTTTGACACAGAGAAAGCTATTTCAAAAATATGTACAATAAGTAAAATAAGTAATACAACATAATTTGACTTTCAAGTTTATTTTCAGTGTTGTAAAAGATCTATTACTGACTGATTTATTTTATAAAAGTAATTTTAACAATTTTATTGTTGAATATCCTATACCAATTTGTAAAAACGTTTATTTATTCCATATTGCTATACGAGGTAGAAACATGGACTCTCGGAATTACAAGTATGAGGCGTATAGGCCTTTGATATGTGGGTTTTTCGAAGGATGCTGAAGATCTCTTAGATAGAGCACGTGAGCAACAACGAGGTGCTAAGAAAAATAGGAACTGAGACAGAACTCCCAAATATTGTAAAAAACAGAAAAACGGGTTATCTAGGATATATATACAGGCATATTAAGAAAATTTTTTAAAAAATTATCCTGTTCTTTATGTAGATGTAATTAATTAATATATTAATATATGTAATTAATATAACTTTACCTGTAAAATTACTATTTCTTTAATACAAATTTTTCTAATTTAATCTTATTGGAAAAAATCCAGAAATATTATAAAAGAATTAAATAAAACTGATGTAAAAATCCTGAATATAAAACAGCCGGTCTTAAAAAACTAAAAACGATCATGTTATAGAATTTATTTACAACGAACCTTCTAAATAGACTTATTTTTGGTGTCCCACAAGTCATATCGACAGATCAAACAGAAGTTTCAACAAACAACCAAAATACATTATACCACTCTTTACTAAATTCCAGGTTTAACAAATAGACTATTAAATACATTTAGAGAAGTACCTAATATCGGAATTGGAACCAAAAATATGAAAACAATATCGAAATACCAAACTCAAAACATCATTAAATAATAAAGAAACCTCCAATGTAGTGAATTATGTACCCTATAATAATTGCAATAGAATATATATTGGAGAAACGTCCAGAAATTTGTCCGGAAGATTAACATCGCACAAGAGTGATATTAATCTGAATAAAGTACAAGCCTGTGCATTAAGTGACAATTCTATTATGATGAGTCACACGCCTAACTATGATCAAGCAGAAATATTGAGGAGTGAAAGAAATTACAACAAAAGGCTGTATCTAGAAATGTGTTTAATTAAAACTAAAAAAAAAAATCTTAGTGTTATATACAGTAAGTAATCCTCTTTTAAAAAAAGGAACAACAACGATATAAAAGTTCTTTAAAAGTTACACAGATTAAAGCTGTTTTGATGATTATTTTAAGTTTAAATAAGAAAAATTTATTTTTTATTTGTGTTTGGTCTTTTCCTTCTTAATTATTTAGTAACATAAACTCTGGTGCTTGTTTAATAAGTGCAAATGAAACAATTTTACATAATATGTCAAAATTTGCAATGAAGGTTTGCATAAGCATAAACACTTCCTCTGTCCAACTAACATAAAATGAATATAAAAAATAGAAGAGACATGGAAACCATAGTAATTTTTTACTGAAAGACAAAGAAAATCAAATAATATAATGTCAAATGTTAAGTAATTCTGCTTCTTTTATAGTACAATTCTCACGATGGTAAGCCTGTTGAAAATAATCAACTTCATTATTCTAATATGGGTTTTTGTTGTAATTTTTAGTATATTTTGAGAAAGAGTTAAATAAAACTCAAAAGCATAACAAACTTTAAAGAGTTTTACTTAAAGGCCAGTATTTGATTATCTACCTTAACTCCATTCTCCAACAAAGCTTTTGCATGTTCTAATCCCAATCCTGAGGCACCTCCTGTAATTAACGCCACTTTATTTTTTATTTCGAACACCATTCTTAAACCTGATTCGCACAGATGGTAGCAATATCGTTTTTGGTACTGGTGTGAATTGTCTAAATTAATGTTTTATATTATCATGTTCGACCTTTTTAATATCTTCAAGGTGAGCAGATAAAGTGCTTGGGAACTGGTTTAGTTGTCGGTAAATTATTTTGATTTTGATAATTAATTTTAAAAATGTGTATTTACATATTGATAAGAAAAGTACATAAATAAAACTGCAATTATGTTTGTGATAAAAATTTTATAAAAACGATAAAAAAAACAGGAAGAATTTGATAAATATTATCTTTTTTTTTAATTGCTTTCGATTGTTTAATCCATTACTCGTCAGACATAAATAGTATATTACATTATCTGTTACCAGATTCAAAAATATGCACAGTCATTTATAATAAGGAAATAGTTTTGTTGTTAAAATCATTGAAAATAAACAAATTGCTTTAAAATTGGTATAGAATTAACAGAGTCACTCACAATCTGTTATATTGTGAATGTCCCTACACCTTTATATTTTGTGTTGCATCGTGACGTGTGGCATAAATTCAGAGTAATGGCACTATTGTTCTTCTCTGTGGTTGTTAACTTAATGCTACCTGCATTAAATAGTGGTCGTGATATCATGTAACTATTAACTGATTTTTCCAACGTTCCTCTAGTTCTCACATTCTTCTGCTATTCTAGCACATTCATCAATAATGTCTGTGTATCGTTTGGGAGATCTACCGAGACTTATTTTGCCTTCTACCTTAATAGTAAGATTTTAACACCAATTTTTTAAAACCCGTGTCCAAAAAAGCCTATTACTTGTGCTCATATTTCCATTTTTAATATTTTCTTTATATTTAGCTAATTAAGTAAAGACTCATTTCTCCTTTGTGCTACTCATGATATTCCCATCATTCATCTCAACAGTGCATCTCAAATGCATTCATAATCTTTTTAGTTTTCTTTATAAGGTCCAGCATTCTGATGCTAAATTGTAATTGGAAAAACTAGACCTCTTATCAGTCTCATTGTTATCTCGATAGTTATTACATGGCTTTTTTTATTTTTGTTAATTTCGCCATAAAACTTACTAACATGAAATTGCTGACCCTAATTGATTTATTTCTTTAGTACAGGCTCTTTTGTTAGTTATTAAAGAGTTCAGATACACAAATCATTATTATTATTTTGTCTCTGTGTATTCTAAGATTCATCGTTTTAAGCTTACTTCTTAGTTGTTCATGCACCCGATAGTTCTTCTCCATTCACCAGGTGTGTTAAATACAATTGGGCTTATTATATAACTTTGTCTGTTGCCCTTAGTGATCCGGAAAACTTGTGTCCCTATTTACTCTCGCTCTGGCAAAATTTTTATTGTAAAGGCTTTTAGTAAGCAGAACCAAATTATGCGGGACTCCCATTTTAGACAAACCCTACCATATTTCATTTCAGTTGATTATTTCAAATGCTCTACTATAATCTATGAGGTACAAATATGTTGCAATGTTAAATTCTCTGCATTTTTCTATATTCTCTCATACATTTAAAATTTGTTTCCTAGTGCCACGTCCGTGGAGTAAACCTGTTTGTCTTTCCGCAATTATAGAAAGTAAAAAGGGCTTTATCCTCTCTAGAATCATGTGCAAAGGTATCTTGCTGCACTGCGTATTGAGCGCAATTGTGCGATAGTTGCTACATAAGTCTTCGGTTCCCTTTTTGTGTATAGAGATATTCACAGACGACTTGCAGACAATTTACCTGTCTTTCATACATTTTCACAAATTTGATGTATTTTATCCACTACAATGTCATCTAGGGACCAAATCATTTTAAAAGGTCTGTTATCCAGACCAGCAGCTTCATGACTTGTTGCCTTATAATTGATGCTAAAACTTATCTTTTATGTATGTTAGATTCTGTCTTAAAACTGGTATCTACTTGGTACTGTGATACTTCTATGTGTTCCTTATCAACAATATTTCACAATATTCAGTCCACCCATGTAATATATACTGTTTAGAAGCTAGTACAGTTCCGTGATCATCTTTAATAGCAAAGTGGTTTGGTAAAAAGAAAACGTTTTGTTTGATTTTTTTACAAACATGTTTCTGATCTTAGATCTGGTTTTGTGTTTCTCTATTTTAAGGCAGATAGTGTGTGGTATTCAGACAGTCCTATGGCTCCTAAACATTTCCTCTGCTGTAGCTTAATATATGTGTAGTCTATTATACTTTGTTGGCTTTTTTCGTCTCTATCACATTAAAAACATTATTTTTGCGACATTGTGTATTATAGGTTACATTTTTTTCCATATGTTGTTTGAGGACTCTTTTCTATTTTGGTTATGTTATTTGTTTGAAGTCTCATGAGGTTTGGGGACTGTTCCTTAGATTCACGCGCAAATTAGCTCATAAAAATTTATGGTCACTATTACAATTCTTTTTTGAATAGGTCTTAACAATAATCACGCTGCTTTAATGGATTTCCACCAGGATAATATCTATCTAATTGTTGTATTTATTTCCTGACAATATTAAGATATTACAGAGGAGGATATAAATCAGCTGGAAAATATCCAAAAAAATTATATAGTTATAATGAGGTGTCAAAATGTTCATCATTATTGAATTTTACGGAAATAAAAATCTTTTACTGACAATCCGTAATAGATTTTATTAAAATTGAAAGAAGATAATAGGCTACCGGTTTTGTTTTTTACAAACCTTTACAGTATCTTCAGACCCTTAAGTAACTAGGACATCAGAAGCAACTTTCTAGAATCTCCTCCTCCTTAGTCCTAATTCCTTTTGGTATGTATTGACATCATCAGGCCTTTATAGTTTTTTCACGATTTCCCTCCATTTTCTCTTTGTCCGGGGCTTGTTCGGATTCACGTAACCCTTGGTTAATTAATATTTTTGTTTGATCTACCTAACGGCTTGGAGATCTCTCCCTAGGTCTCTTTCCTTCAACTCTACCCTCGACTAACAGTTTTTCTATTGTACCTGTTCTTCTAGCAATGTGTACAAAATACTGCAAATATCTCTGTTGTATTTGTTTAAGCAATCTATCGTTTACTTTAAGTAGTTCTAATATCGATACGCTAGTGCGATTATCAATCCAGGATATTCTCAACATGCGGCGGTATACCCACATTTCAAAAGTGTCCAGTTTATTTTTATCCGCTTTCTTTAGGGTCCACGTTTCGGATGCATATGTAGCTATGGGAAAAATGAACGCCCTTACCAGCCTTAGTTTTGTGTGTATTCTATCTTGAATCTATAACAACAATAACATTCGGGTACAGTGAATCTTTAGATTAGAATTGTACTGATATACTTGGTTTCTTGAGGGAGAGCTGGGTGCGCTACCACTGTTACAAGCAGGCTGTCTGAATTGAACTAAAGTTTGTCTTTAACAAACCCTACAAAATCGAAACAAGGCAGTATAGGAAGACAAAAGTGGCAAAGGCTTATTGCATATACACCGATGGCTCCAAAATAAAAGAAGGCTCAGGATGCAGGATATACTTCAGATCACTGAACCTAAGAATAAAGTGGGGTATGAGCAAAAATGACAACGTAGTTCAAACAGAACTGGTTAGTATCTCCACAACCGCAAAAAAATAACCCAAAGAAGTATAACAGGAAAAACTATAATGATCTGCACATATAGTAGACAAGCTTGAATAGACTACGTGTCACGTCAGGGTTAGTAATGGAGTGTCACGAGTTACTAACTTAGGCTTCGTATGGTAATATCATCATACTGAGGTGCGTTAAAGGCGACAATAGGAATAAAGTCAACCGCATTGCTGACAAATTGGCTACGAAAGTGGCAAACCTAAGACTCTTAGGACCTGGAAACTTGTTTGGTTGGTCAACTACAACAATCGCGGAAATTGTCAAGTGTTACTCCCATACGGAAACCGTAAAAAGATAAGAAGATGGGCAAGGATGTAAACTTGCCAGGGTAACACTCAGTAACCTTGAAAAGTTAGCATCAAAGAAGTACTTGGAAATGACCAGGAAAAACTTACGCTTGACAGTTGGCTTTTTAACTGGTCATAGTCAACTAAGCAAACACCTCCACACATTGGAGCTAGCAGATACACCTCCATGTAAACGAGAAGACGAAATTGTAGAGCATGTCCTATGTATATGCCCAAAGTTATCGTTAATACGAGAGTATGCGTTCCGCGAGTCCTTGCTCACACCTGCCCACATAAGAAAGATGTCTCCTGGTAATTTGTCCACCTTTCTAGAAATAGCAAGATGAACAATGATCTAAAAGTGACAGCTCTTTAAAATTATGCACAATGGGTCATTTGTGACCTAGGTGCTGTAGAACTTAACTCGCCTTCCCTAGTCTACAGATAAAGATACAGACTTTCACTATTCATAAATTTTAGGGAAATGAATCTTCTACTGACATTCTGTAATAGATTTAATTAATATTTAAAAAATGAGAATGGGCTACCGGTTTCGCTATTTACAAACTTTTACAGCATCTTTGTGCCCTAAGTAACTAGAATATCAGGAGCAACTTACTATAATCTCTAATACCGATAACATTATCCGGTTACAGTGGATATATAGATGATAATTGTACTGATATTCTTAGTTTCTTGAGGGTCTGAAGATACTGTAAAAGTTTGTAAATAGCGAAACCGGTAGCCCACTCTCTTTTATAAAGTTTAATAAAAACCTATAAGGGATTGTAAGTAGAAGATTTATTTTTCCTAACATTAAAATAAACTCTAATAAACTTAAATAACTCTAAACTCTTAAATTCAAAATACTATATTTTGTAGATTTGGAGTAAAACCGATGAAGATGCTCGTAATATTATGTATATGTAACAAAAAGAAGGCTTTTAAACAATACAATAGATTTATATTAATTTATTTATAAGCAGTGAACGGCCAAATTACGGAATATTATTATTATTTTGAGAACCGTCGAGTTTTGATGGAAACTCCGAAACAGGTCGATTTTACTTTACTTACTCCGAAAAGAGTAGGGACGAAGTCACCGGTGTAGGTGTAGTGATGTAATCGTTAAC